GTCTCTCCTGCAGCTGCAGGGACTCCCCTCCTGGTCCGGAGGGGACTCACCCATCTCCTGGCTGCTTGGCGACCTGTGGGCTGGGACTGCATGGCTTGCTCGAGGGGTTTGCAAGCCCTCCTCGCCCCATTTCATTGTTTTCTGCCTCCTGGTTCTAAGTCTTCTCCTCTAATTGCAAACGCAAGCAGGGCTTCAGTTTGGCTGTGTAGGAAATGGAAAAGGAAGGGTGCAAAGAGGCCCTTCGCTGTTTATCAGTCTGGTGCAACGCCGACGCTCCCGTCCACCAAGTGGAAGAGGAAGGACCAGCTTGCCTGTTGTTGTAGATGGAAACCATGGTGCCTTGCCTTTCAGCTCCTGTTTCCCCCTCCAACCAGCGAGCGGCGCTCGTGGCCAAGCCCAAGGTAGCCCTGGATCCTCACCGGCCTTGCCTGCTTTAACAGCTGGCTGAAATTAGAAGCTTATTTGAGTCCTTCATGGAACAACACTTCGTAGGCAATGGCAGGAAGCAGGCTGCCTTTAATATTGGACGTCACAACCTGTTAGTCTCCGGCTCCCATAAACACAGAATCGTAGAATGATGCAGTTGGCATGGGCGTATCTGGCCACTGAGCCCAGCCTGTTAATCATGGCTCACCACTGACCAGTTAGGGTGGAGATCGAATCCAGCAACAGCTGGAGTGCTCCAGATCGAAAAGGTGTGAAATACATGGTGTGGAAAGCAAGCATCACCTGTCTGTCTCTCTGATGGTTAGGATGTCCAAAAAGACCGTAGGGAGGTGAACGCTCGCTAGATTTAAGGAATTTTCACGTCCCACCAGATTTCTCACCTCCTGCATGAGAGCAAGACACGGAGTTCTTCCCCTGCCCCCATTAGGTTCAATTGAGTTTCCAGAAAATGCCTGTACCATTTGCACCGCATGCCTGCAAAGTCTAGCGTTCTTTCCCTGTGAGAAGTGGACTCTGTCCACACAAAGACACCCACAGACATGTACCCATAGACACACATACACAGAGCAAGTGAGAGTCTCTAAACGACCTTGTCTGCTTGGGGCCCCCGCTTCAGTGAACACTCTGGGGGGGCACACAGACATGCACATCACATGCAGTTGCCTACAGGCCCTCTTAAAAAAAGGAATCAGAGATCTGACTGAAGGTTCATTTTTTTGCTGGTTAGGGAAAGTTAGGAAAACCTGCACCCCAGTGGCTGAAGAGTCTATGCAGCTCTTGTCTCCTCGTCCCTTCCCTCACTTGCCTCTCCAGGTCCGGGCTGATGCAGATGTGTCAAAATGGGTGGCTGGAGTCTCCGTTGCCTGGTTGTGTTGCGATGGTCCTGCAGATTATAGGCAGATTTTATACAACTATAACCATCAGTGCTGTGATACACTAGATATAGCCAACCAGCTAATGGTCTCAATCTCTCCCCTCAGGGATATATAAACTGTGACTTGGTTTATCCTGGTGTGCTAAATGAGAAAGTGCAAAAAAAAACCCCAACAACACATCTCCCTGCTATAGGATGCTGTTAGTTGTTTTTAGACAAAATGTGTGCAATGTTTGTGCATCGTTGCAGATGTGAAAAAAATTAAAACTATAATCACAGCTGCCTTCCTGTTGGACTGCTGAAAGGCACAAGTATTAGACATTTACGGCATAACTTTTTCCAGCAAATCTCCCACTCTCTTGTCCTTTGGATGTACAAGTGATGTGTGTGGTTTCAGAAAGAGGAAAGATGCTACAGATACTTTTGTGCAAATTGCACAAGCCACCGTGAGACAGAAAAGCACTCAGCGTTTCAATCTCACACTGGAGGAGAGATCTCTGCCCAGGGTTTTGAGAATCCTGGCTGAGCTGTCTTGACCAGAAACAAGACATTTGGTTCACTTCGCCCTCCACTCGACTTTCCATAAAGACGCGAGCCAAGAGCAACGTTGTCTTGCTTAAGTGGATGTGAAGGGAGGAGGCGCAGGAGTGTCATGATCCGAGGCTTTTTGGACACCTGAACTTGGAAACTATTCCTTTTTCAAAGTATAATTCCCAAGTACCATTCCCTAAACCCCCATCTTGGGCATCTTGGATGTTGCAAAAAGAGGCTTCTCCTATTTCTAATAACCTCCCAGTTTAGATGAAAACACAAGGACATGATAGAAGTCAAACAGCAATATTTTACGCGCCGTCCGTAGCCTTACACATGTTCGGTCTCCATGTCCCATCAACCCTAATGCTAGGGAAGATGGGAATAGTAGTTAGAAACCACCGGGTCCTGTGACTTCCCATCCTCCTGTCTTTGCGTTGTTTCGTTGTTTAGTCATGTCCGACTCTTTGTGACCCCTTGGACCAGAGCACGCCAGGCCCTCCTGTCTTCCACTGCCTCCCGGAGTTGGGTCCAATTCATGTTGGTCGCTTTGATGACCCTGTCCAACCGTCTCGTCCTTTGTCATTCCCTCCTCCTCTTGCCCTCACATTTTCCCAACATCAGGGTCTTTTCCAGAGAGTCTTCTCTTTCCATGAGATGGCCAAAGTATTGGAGCCTCAGCTTCAGGATCTGTCCTTCCAGTGAGCACTCAGGGTTGCTCACTGCAACCAGTCTCTCTCTTTTTTCCTCATGCCTAGGAGAGAGTTTTCACGTCTTACCCTTCTCTGATCTGTGCCTTTTCCAAGGAAGCCGCCATGTCAGTCTGTCTTCACCCAGGTTTTTTTGTTGTCTTTTATGAATGGATTTTAGGGTATTTTGGTTCATGGCGACCGCCTTGGTAAGGCTTCTGGCTTCCTGGTGGCTTGACTTCTGTTCTCCTGCGTGGGAATGTTATTTAACTTTCTAGATCACCTCTAGAAAACATCAGAAAGTAAACCGAGGAGCCCCGTGCTAGAAATTATTGATAAGTAGGGAGGTGCTGCCCTCTAGGGACTGAGAGCAGTCCATCTTGTGGTGATCCATGCTTGCTGCTCTACCTTGGGCAGTGGAGACTTTTATGAATCCACCTTCCAAGCATAGAGAACTTTCTGCGCAAGCTTTCAAGGTCAAAATGCTCTTTGTCAACATGATGCTGCAGGCAACGGGGCCGGGACTTTACGCTAGAGCACTTTGGAGATAACGGGGAGGAAAGGCGCAGATTTTAATTTAGGCCGTTGGGGGTTAAGGGGCCACTAGACTCTTTGTTGCTATTATTCCTGAAGGAGTCTCGCCTCAATAACACAACGGGGACCAAGGATCTGATTTAAATACAAGGCGAGTGCCTAGATTCAGAGGCCATCCATGGCTTGAGAAAGCCGCACAAAGGAAACCGTGTGATCCACCAGCGACTGATATGTCTGCAGCGCCATCCAGAGGATACGATGTAAACCAGGGGTCCTCAAACCTTTTTGACTCGTGGCTCCCTTGACTTATGGGCCACTGCCTGTGCTTCCCCGATATGATACTTTGGGTGAGGATGGGAGACGGGAAGGAGGAAGCCTGGCCTGAGTAGGACTTCCGAGGATTCTGTGGAAATACTCCCAAGGATTCTGTGGAAGTACTTCTGAGGATTCTGTGGAAACACTTCCGAGGATTCCATGGAAATACTTCCAAAGATTCCGTGGAAGTACTTCCAAGGATTCTGTGGAAATACTCCTGAGGATTCCGTGGAAGTACTTCTGAGGATTCTGTGGAAGTACTCCCGAGGATTCCGTGGAAGTACTTCTGAGGATTCCGTGGAAGTACTCCTGAGGATTCCGTGGAAGTACTCCTGAGGATTCCGTGGAAGTACTTCCGAGGATTCCGTGGAAGTAATTCCGAGGATTCCGTGGAAGTACTCCCGAGGATTCTGTGGAAGTAATTCCGAGGATTCCATGGAAATACTTCCAAGGATTCCGTGGAAATACTTCTGAGGATTCCATGGAAGTACTCCTGAGGATTCCATGGAAGTACTCCTGAGGATTCCGTGGAAGTACTCCTGAGGATTCCGTGGAAGTACTCCTGAGGATTCCGTGGAAGTACTCCTGAGGATTCCGTGGAAGTACTCCTGAGGATTCCGTGGAAGTACTCCTGAGGATTCCGTGGAAGTACTCCTGAGGATTCCGTGGAAGTACTCCTGAGGATTCCGTGGAAGTACTCCTGAGGATTCCGTGGAAGTACTCCTGAGGATTCCGTGGAAGTACTCCTGAGGATTCCGTGGAAGTACTCCTGAGGATTCCGTGGAAGTACTCCTGAGGATTCCGTGGAAGTACTCCTGAGGATTCCGTGGAAGTACTCCTGAGGATTCCGTGGAAGTACTCCTGAGGATTCCGTGGAAGTACTCCTGAGGATTCCGTGGAAGTACTCCTGAGGATTCCGTGGAAGTACTCCTGAGGATTCCGTGGAAGTACTCCTGAGGATTCCGTGGAAGTACTCCTGAGGATTCCGTGGAAGTACTCCTGAGGATTCCGTGGAAGTACTCCTGAGGATTCCGTGGAAGTACTCCTGAGGATTCCGTGGAAGTACTCCTGAGGATTCCGTGGAAGTACTCCTGAGGATTCCGTGGAAGTACTCCTGAGGATTCCGTGGAAGTACTCCTGAGGATTCCGTGGAAGTACTCCTGAGGATTCCGTGGAAGTACTCCTGAGGATTCCGTGGAAGTACTCCTGAGGATTCCGTGGAAGTACTCCTGAGGATTCCGTGGAAGTACTCCTGAGGATTCCGTGGAAGTACTCCTGAGGATTCCGTGGAAGTACTCCTGAGGATTCCGTGGAAGTACTCCTGAGGATTCCGTGGAAGTACTCCTGAGGATTCCGTGGAAGTACTCCTGAGGATTCCGTGGAAGTACTCCTGAGGATTCCGTGGAAGTACTCCTGAGGATTCCGTGGAAGTACTCCTGAGGATTCCGTGGAAGTACTCCTGAGGATTCCGTGGAAGTACTCCTGAGGATTCCGTGGAAGTACTCCTGAGGATTCCGTGGAAGTACTCCTGAGGATTCCGTGGAAGTACTCCTGAGGATTCCGTGGAAGTACTCCTGAGGATTCCGTGGAAGTACTCCTGAGGATTCCGTGGAAGTACTCCTGAGGATTCCGTGGAAGTACTCCTGAGGATTCCGTGGAAGTACTCCTGAGGATTCCGTGGAAGTACTCCTGAGGATTCCGTGGAAGTACTCCTGAGGATTCCGTGGAAGTACTCCTGAGGATTCCGTGGAAGTACTCCTGAGGATTCCGTGGAAGTACTCCTGAGGATTCCGTGGAAGTACTCCTGAGGATTCCGTGGAAGTACTCCTGAGGATTCCGTGGAAGTACTCCTGAGGATTCCGTGGAAGTACTCCTGAGGATTCCGTGGAAGTACTCCTGAGGATTCCGTGGAAGTACTCCTGAGGATTCCGTGGAAGTACTCCTGAGGATTCCGTGGAAGTACTCCTGAGGATTCCGTGGAAGTACTCCTGAGGATTCCGTGGAAGTACTCCTGAGGATTCCGTGGAAGTACTCCTGAGGATTCCGT